GGACTGTCTTTCCTTTTTTTGTTTTTTTGAGACAGGGTCACCCTGTAGCTCCAGCTGGCTTGGAACTCACTATATAGACCAGGTTGGCCCTGAACTCAAGATATCATCTGACCTCTGCCTCATAAGTGCAGGGATTAAAGGTGTGCACCACTGTGCCCTGTGTGTATATGCGTGGGTGGGTGTGCACGTGGAGGCCAGAGGACAACTTTATTGGTGTCGGTTCTCTCCTTTGCCTGTGTGGTTTCCAGCAATTGAACTTGGGTCATTAGGCTTAGGTTTGGCAGCAGTTGCCTCTAATCACTGAGCCAGTTTTTTTCTTTTTGAGACAGGGTCTCCCTGTAGCCTCAACTGGCCTGGAGCTCACAAAGATCCCCCTGCCTCTGATTCCCAAGTACTGGGATTAAAGGCATGTTTGAGCCTAAGATAAAGTTTTAAACACAGTAGATTTTAATCTGGTGCAGAAAACCAATTTCAGATGACATCAGTTCGTTTTTTTTTTTTGTGTGTGTGTGTTTGTGTGTGTGTGTGTGTGTGTGTGTGTGTGTGTTTTAATTTTATTATTATTATTTTAATATTATTTTTATTTTATGTGTATGAGTGTGTTGCCTGCATGTATGTGAGTGCACCTGTGTCGTGCAATGTCTCGGAGGTCAGAAGAGAGCTTTGGATTCCCCTAAAACTGGAGTTAAGGCTGAGTCCTCTGCAAGAGCAGTCAATACTCTTAACCGCTGAGCCATCTCTGGCCCCCTTTTTAAAAAAAAAATTTGTGTGTATTGCTTGCATGTAGGTAAGTGCACGTGTCACGCAATGCCCATGGAGGACAGACGAGGCTGTCGGATCCCGTGGAACTGGAGTTACGGACAGCTGTTAGCTGCCATGTGGGTGCTGGGATTTGAACAGGGTCTTCTGCAAGAACAGTCAGTGTTCTTAACCATTGAGCCATCTCTCCAGCCCTGTTTTTTGTTTTTTTAAATTTTATTTATTTTATGTATATGAGTGTTTGTCTGCATGTATATAAGTGTACCACCTGTGTGCAATGCCTGTGGAGGCAAGAAGAGGGCATCAAATCCTTTGGAACTGTAGATGGTTGTTAGCTACCATGTGGGTGCTAGGAACCAATCCTGAACCTGGGTCCTCTGCCAAAGCAGCCAGTATTCTTAACTGCTGAACCACCCCTACAGCCCCAACAATGTCAGTTTTAAGAAACAGCAAGTTGTATAATCTTTTTTTTTTTTTTTTTTTTTTTTTGGTCTTTTTGAGACCATGTAGCTCCAGCTAGCCTAGAACTCACTATGTAGACCAGGCTGGCCTTGAACTCACAGAGATCCTCTGGCCTCTGCCTCCCAAGTGGTGGGATTAAAGGTGTGCACCACCAGGCTCTACAAGTTGTATAATCTTTTCTGCAATACAAAGCTGAATTTTACAGAGGCTCAATTAGAATCTCAAATGAAGGTGGGTGTGATGTCACATTTGCCTGTAATCCTAGTACTCAGGAGATAGAGGAGACAGAGACCTCAAAGCTGCGTATAAAGTTCAGCTTGTGTGACATCAGGCCCTGTCTCCAGAGAGCGAGAGCGAGAGAGAGAGAGAGAGAGAGAGAGAGAATATTATTGAGGGAGGGAAGGAGGAGAGAGACAGGGTATATTATTGAGGGGGGGAGAGAATATTATTGATACCATCTGTTGAAATTTATTGATGAATAAGAAATTTCTCAGGGCTGGAGAGATGACTCAACAGTTAAGAGCACTGGTTGCTCCTGTAGGTTAGGTTCACAGCATCCACATGGTGGCCAACAACCATCTATAACTCTGATTCTAAGGATTCTGATGCCCTCTTCTGGCCAGACTGGGTAATAAGCATACATGTGGTGCACATACATGCAGGCTAACACTCATATACATAAAATT